TAGAGAGAAACATCAATGGAAGAAAAACATTGATCAGCTGCCTCCTGCACACCTCCTACTGGGGATGTGCCCACAACCAAGGTACATGCCCTTGACCGGAATCAAACCTGGGACCTTTCAGTCCTCAGGCCGACACTCTATCCACTGAGCCAAAACAGTTAGGCTCAGAGTCTATTTATTGCCACATCTATCTATCTATCTATCTATCTATCTATATAAAAAGGCAGCTACTGTAATGGCCATAACGACCTAACAACCGGTCGCTATGACGCCCACTGTGGACAGGGAACCAGCCAGATCAGGGGGTAGGGCTAGCGGCCAACCTCCTGCAGCCCCTCCCCCTGGTTGGCCACGCCCCCGATGGGCCTCCCCCACCCTGATCGGCCCGCAGCCCCTCCCCATGGCCGGCCCTGCCCCCAATCGCCCCCAAACTCTAATTGAGGGTAGGGCCCACCAGCCAATCACCCGTGGCCCCTTCTCCCAGCCGGTCCAGCCCTGATCGAGAGCCCTAATTGGGCCCCAATCCAGGTGGGCCGGCTGGACAACCTCCCACCATCTCCTCCTCCCGACAGGCCCAGTCCCGATCCGCCCTGATTGGGGCTGGGCAGAACAGACCTCACCCGTGCATAAATTCGTGCACTGGGCCTCTAGTGTATATATATATAAAAGCCTACGTGACCGAATGACCGGCCGGTGGCTATGATGCACACTGACCACCAGGGGGCAGACACTCAACGCAGGAGCTGCCCCCTGGTGGTCAGTGCGCTCCCACAGCGGGAGCACCACTCAGGTGACAGAGGGGCGCCAGACGCCGCCACTGCCTGTGGACACTCCCCCTGTGCGCCCGAGTGGCAGATGCAGCAGGGCCGGGATGATCAGGAGCACTGCAGAGCCAGCATAGGCTCAGGCTCCTCCCTGGCATCTGCTGCTTCCCGCACTACTTTGTGCTCTGCGGGATCGACATGGACAGAGCCCGACAAGCTGGAGGGTAAGGCCAGGCCGAGGGACCCCCACTGGTGCACGAATCTGTGCACTGGGCCTCTAGTTTTTATATATTGTGCCTTTTATTGGTGATTGTGCAGTTTAAAATTGGCCAAGCACTGTCTAGTGTTCCTACGTGAAAGAAAGCTTTGATGTGCCTTATGTAGAAAATACATGTTGGATAAGCTTTGTTAAAGCATAAGTTACAGTGCCACTGGCTATGAGTTCAATGTTAATGAATTAAGAACATATATAAAACAAGGTAAACAGAAACACATAGAACAAGGTTATGTATTGATCAGTTGATGGAAATGTTGTGACCAGAGACTCACAGGAACCTAACCTTGTATTTTTTCTACAGACAACAATTCAGTATTTGCTAACATAGTGTTCTCAGTGACCTCATAGAACATAACTACTTCAACTGTTGTTACATGTACCAACTCAACATGTAGCAACAGGAATGCCACCAAATTATAGACCATTTTCTGGAACAACAGATCATTTTCCCCAAAGTCAAACAGTAGTTGTAGATTTCTGACAGGATAACCACAGGGACTGATGATAGTGTTATTTCATAGCATACAGACTAAAAACATTAGAATAATGCAATGCACAAAGTTAGAAAATGAGTATTACTTCACCACAAAGATCAAGAGGTGGCTCCAAGGGGTGCATATACCCCAGGGGCATGCAAATGAATCAATGGGGTAAGAAAAGAGAATATAACATCATCTATACTTACTAATCTCATCTCTAAATTACAATTTATTTTATAACTTAGTAACAGTAAAATATGTATACACAATTTATAAATTCGACTAGTAGTGCCTGTTCCATTTCTGCTGATGTATAAGATCAAAAAAAGTTGGGAGATCACCACTGTAGAGGATCAGAGTGAGTAACTCAAAACAAATTCCAGGAGTACATGTCCTGCAGTGAAGGGAAAAGCTGGTGGCTTTGAGGACTCAGATGCACTGAGAACATCTATGGAAATCTGGGTTCTACTGCTGCTCTGCCCCAAGTTGTGATGATCCTCACACAGGCCATTCCTACAGGCATCAATTAACTCATGGAAGAAATTAGCTGGTTGTAACACTCACTGGACAATCTGAGCTAGCTGGCCTTCCTGCTCTAAAAATTTGACAATTCTATGATTCAGTGAAAAAAACATAATAGCTAGTAAGTAAAACAATTGTGTGCTGCTGCCTGGGGTCTAAAGGCTGAGGCGTGCACTGATACAGCAACAGACTGTCCGCAGAATACCACTTCCCAGACTGGGAGGATTCGATGGAATTCTTTTTTTTTTTTTTTAAGATTTTTTAAAATGTATTTTTGTTAATTTTAGAGAGGAAGGAAGAGGGAGAGAGAGAGAAATATCAAATGATGAGAGAGAATCATTGATCGCTGCCTCCTGTACAACCCCTACTGGGGATCGAGCCCACAACCCAGGCATGTGCCCTTGACCGGAATCAAACCTGGGACCCTTCAGTCTGCAGGCTGATGCTCTATCCACTGAGCAAAAATGACTAGGGTTCTATGGAATTCTTAAAGAGCTCCTAGACTGTTAGTGTTATCTTATATAGTTAAACTAATCAACTGTAATTGCTCAGCAAAGAGAAAGAGACAAAGAGAAAGAGAGAGAGAGAAACATAACCATAACCAGTGGTGGCAATCTGTCTGCCATTCCACTAAATGAGAGTGTTCTATTCCCTGGGACACTCTCATTTCTCCAGTCTCTCTTACATCATCTGATCATAAACAAACTACTTTCTCTGGTGCTCAAGGGAAGAATCAGGGATTATTTCAACCCTAAAGGAAAAATGGCTGCATGTGACTTACTGAAAGATGGAAATCAGCCTCCAAAGAGGACTGACTTCCTAAGGATATTTCAAGGACAATTTTTGACAATAGTCAACTTTCACAGTATACACCGAGAGTAGAACCAAACCCCCAAGTAAAGTAAGACTCATTACAATAATGTAAGTGAAATTTGTTACACTTCATATTGTACTTCATATTGTTTAAAGTGCTCTCATATAACAGTGTCATTTAACATACACAGCAGCCAAGCAAAGACAGAACTGCAGTTCCCATTTCAGAAACCAAGTGCAATAATGGAAAAAGAGTTTGAGCCAGACAATACAGGTTCAAATGCCAGGCATTTTGTTCAGTTTTTCAGAGCCTTAGTTTCCCATCAGTAAAATGGGAACAGCTGCACATACCTCACAGACTTCTGACGATGAGTCAAGTGTACAAGTCACATGTATACAGTATTGTGTATCCTTTCACATTCCACAGGAAATAGTGCAAGTTCACACACCTACTATGACTAATCCCCAATTCCAAGCTCCATGTTCAGAGGTTCAAGAAGAATGTAAAAGGTGTTCAAAAGACAGAACTATTTTGCTAAATTTATGAAATGCTCTCTTGAAGACTCACAAAGCATATATGTGTGTAGATGTGTATGATATAAAGGCTCTATAATAGTATTTAAATAAAGCTGGTTCAACATGCACAGAACATTTCCCAAAAATGCATTTAAATAATGGAATCCTTTTTTGCATAGTTAGTATAAACATATAGACCTAATGTTCTTCTGGACGTACTTTTGGTTGAAAATACTTTAGAAACATTGATTTTGATAAATTAATGTATAACAAGTTAATATCGTATCCGATTAATGTTTAACATTAATAAAAGTAATTAATAGGTTATAGGACAAAGCACAAGAAATCAGGGATACCTGCAATATCATACTAATCCGCCACACCAGGTGGAATCAAGCAAAAGGCAAGCGCTCACCTGCCCCGCAGGCGGAGCACACTTCGCCTCGCTCAGCAGCTGCGGATCCGACCATTCCCTCCTCCGCCCTTTTCCGCCGCCACCTCCATCCCTTCCCACCCACCTGCATCTAAGCAAGGGCAGGGACGGGGTAGGGAGACATGGGGCTATGAGAACAAGCAACCCTGCAATCCGCTGCAGCCTTTCTACTCCCATCCCACAGTGGGTGCAAAGCCACACCGCCTCTCCCACCTCTCCTGTCTCTAGTGCAAGGTCTACAACACTTTAAAACTGTTTGAAAGCACAAACACTTCCCGGCTCCCTTTAGCCCCTCACCTTCACGAAAGCAATCGGGGTGGTGGTACCTTCGATATCTAACAGGATCACAGTGACTTCGGCTGGCACCGAAAGCGCGACCATTTCCCTACCGGATGCTACCACGGAGATCGGCCTACTGGACGGGAGGGCGGCGCCGACTGCACCCCCAGCACCGTCCTGGGCTTCCGAAAGCTCCGCAGGAACCTCGGAGCGGTCAGCCACGTGCGGCTTGAAGCAAGAGGGGAAGAGGCCACCTCCACGCCACCGAGAGTGGAGAAGGCAACCGAGTAAGGGACTAGGGAGCTGCCCGGGGCCGGAGGCCGAGACCACGTGGGTCGGGAAAGAGGCGGGCCGGCGGGGCTGAGGGGGCGGGGCAAGCAAAGGCAGCGATGCCGACTGGCCGCCAGAGGGCCACGGACCCATCCGTCAAGTCGGGGCTCGCGGGGGCGGGAACAAAGCGAGCGCGGGAGCCGAGTGCGCGGGCGCGCGCTCCCAGCACAGGTTAGGCGAGCCGGAGAGGCCGGGGCACGTGCCGACGGGAACCCCGCGAGTGGCGCGCCGGGGACGTGAGTGCCCCCTGCCCTCTACGACACCTAGTCCCCCTCCCCCTCCCTGCCCGCCGCCGCCGCGTTTGCATATTTACTGTCATCTAACCGGGCCTGCTCCCCTCCTCCCGTCCTCGGTCAGCTAAAGAGGCCCCGCGGCGTCCCGGTGGGTCTGACTGCGGTGGTTCCGGCCGACCGGCTCGGGAAGCCCGCCGCCCCCTCTCGGCCCGCGCCGGTAGCAGGAGCGGAAGAGGTGCCGCTGCCCGCAGGGGCCGCCGCGCCGCTTCCTGTCGGCGGGTTCCAGCCGGCGCGGGGACCCAGCACGCTTGCGCGCGGCGACGGCAGGCGCGCTCGCCGCCTCATCCGCCGGTGCCGGGCGGAGGACGCCTTTTCTGGAGCGGGCCGGCTGCGGAGCTCATCGGTCGCCGCCGCCGCCGCAGTTCCGCACGGGGGGACCGAGGGCGGAGGAAGGCAGGGTGGTCGGCTGTGGCTAGGAGTGGGCTGGACCGGACGCCAGAGACAAAGGCTCTCCACGCAAGAGGGACTCGGACCTGCGACGGCGCTGCTCGGGATTGGTGAACCCAGGACTTCTCGCCCCTTCGTTTTCCTCTTCCGACGCTTCCCTCATCCCGAGCCCGCGACCCCGCTCCTCACCGGAGGGCCGCGATGGAGGTCCCGCCCCGGCTCTCCCATGTGCCGCCGCCATTGTTCCCCTCCGCGCCCGCTACTTTAGCCTCCCGCAGCCTCTCCCATTGGCGGCCGCGGCCGCCGCGGCAGCTGGCGCCGCTGCTCCCTTCGCTCGCTGCCGGCACCGCCCGGCAGGGGGCGCGCCGGGGCCCGCGCCACGTCACCGCCCAGCAGCCCTCCCGATTGGCGGGCGGGGCGGCTATAAAGGGAGGGCGCAGGCGGCGCCCGGACCTCTTCCGCCGCCATTTTAAATCCGGCTCCATACAACGCTCCGCCGCCGCGGCCGCGACTCGAACTGCGCGCCAGCACCCGCCGGCCGACAACGCCGCCGCCATGGAGGACGTGAACGAGTACAGCAACACGGAGGAGTTCGCAGAGGGATCCAAGATCAACGCGAGCAAGAATCAGCAGGATGACGGGTACCGCACGCTGCTCCCCTTCTTTCCCCTCCGCCCCCCGCGCGCGCCCTCCGTTCCTCGAGAGCCCCGCGCTGCCCACATTCTTGCCCGGAGTCGATTCCCCGCGTGCCCGCGGGGCCCCGCTAGCTTGGAGAGAAGAGGAAAGTAGGAGACGGGAGGGGAGGACTCGAGAGGCCTGCGGCGGTGGGGGAAGGGCGGAGGGGTTGGAGGCGGAGGGCGGCGGCGTCCGGGCCCCGAGTGCGCAGGCGCCGCGTGGGCCGTGGGGGAGGGGCCGCCTCGCTGCGCCACATGCTGCAGCTGCCGCCGCCTCTTCATTGTGTCTGTTGGGGCCCCGCGCGGCCTTCCCGGGGGGAGTTTAGAGAACTCTCGGTGTGGGGGCCGGCGAGCGCCGGTGCGCAGAGCCCCAGAAATCGTCGTGCGGGGTTCTGTAGGTGGAACGTTGGCCTGGTGGCTGAGGGAGACGGCGGACCTCCGTTGTGAGGGACTAGATTAGGAAGTTGGATGTTCTCACGTAGAACAGTGCTTAACGTTTTGTTGGCCTCGTCCTCGTTTAAGCTTCGCGTTATGCAGTGCGGGAGAGCAAGCTGTAAGGTGTTGTGAGGAAGCCACCTCCATGGGACTTTGGAATCTTTGCGGTCTATTGATAATGAGTATCTGAAAACATGGGTTAAATTACTTGCACTTGGCATTAAACGTCCCGTACTCACTTCACCCTTAAAAACATAACCCCAGAATTGGAGTGATCGTTTAGGCCGCTGCTAATCTTTAAAAAAAAACACTTTTATTTTTAGTAAAATGTTTATTGGAGGCTTGAGCTGGGACACAAGCAAGAAAGATCTGACTGAATATTTGTCTCGATTTGGGGAAGTTGTAGACTGCACCATTAAAACAGATCCAGTCACTGGACGATCAAGAGGATTTGGATTTGTGCTTTTCAAAGATGCTGCTAGTGTTGATAAGGTAGGAATGTGTTTTGCATGATGATACTTTTGTGTGCCTTTTGCAAATGGTTCGGGGATTGGTTGTATATTGCTGTCAGATTAAATAAATATGTCTTATAGGTTTTGGAACTGAAGGAACACAAACTGGATGGCAAATTGATAGATCCCAAAAGGGCCAAAGCTTTAAAAGGGAAGGAGCCCCCCAAAAAGGTTTTTGTGGGTGGATTGAGCCCAGATACTTCTGAAGAACAAATTAAAGAATATTTTGGAGCCTTTGGAGAGGTGCGGTGTGTGATTGTTTATGTGTGTTTATATAATATTCATTTCTGACCTTCTTACAGAATAAATTCATATGTCAGGTGAGGGTGGGATTAAATTACTGCTTGGGGTCCTTCCAGTCACCATACTTTAATCACTGTTTTCTGTGCTGTAATGCAAACCAATTTCTAATTTATTTTGAAGAAAACATGTATGCTTTGGTGTGGTCAGTGTTTGGACTTGTTAACTAGTGGCACCTGTAGGGTATGAGAGGCTCTTAAATAAAGGAAGCTTTGCTCTTCCTTCTAAATGTTTACTTAACAGATAAATCACATAGTTTGATGTTGATATTAAGTAGTAGTAGTCTTTAGACAGAAGTCATCTGATTAGAATACCATGTTATGTTGAAGTTTGCAAAGGACCTGTGGTATTCTAAGACCTTTTGGTAGCTTTTTGCCATCACTGGATGATCTTGAGTGTGCTTCTTAATTTCAGATTGAAAATATTGAACTTCCCATGGATACAAAAACAAATGAAAGAAGAGGTTTTTGTTTTATCACATACACAGATGAGGAGCCAGTAAAGAAATTGTTAGAAAGCAGATATCATCAAATTGGTTCTGGGAAGGTAAAGCCATTTTAATTATATTAAGTGAGGATTTTGAGTTTCTTTTTATTAGTGAAGTGATTTCTCAATCTTGTTTGCTTTTTAAAATTTGTCTATAGTGTGAAATCAAAGTTGCCCAACCCAAAGAGGTATATAGGCAACAGCAGCAACAACAAAAGGGAGGAAGAGGTGCTGCAGCTGGTGGAAGAGGTGGTACTAGGGGTCGAGGCCGAGGTGAGAATTCTTGGGAAATGAGTTGATAATGTTTTAAGCTATAAACTGCTAAATATGAAAAACTAAGGCATAAGAAAGTAAAGCCAGATATAAATTGTTTCAGGAAATTGCTCAGTTGAGTGGGTGGGTTTTTGGTTGTATTGTTTACTGGTTTCACCTTTTCAAAGAATGGCCACTGTGAGACAGTCATCACTGATGGAAAAATGATACTATTAAATGTAGTGAAAATTACACTGTTATACCATGGTGTGATATGTCCGCTTGGGCAGGAGTTCTTGCTTTAAATTTTTTTAAAATTGAACATGATAGAAACATTGACCTGTTTGTTCCACACATTTATGTATTTATTCATCCATTGTTTGGTTCTTGTATGTGCCCTGGCGGGTTCAGACCCGCAACCTGCAACCTTGGCGTGTTGGGATGGATGATTGCTCTAACCAACTGAGCTACCTGGCCAGGGCCTAGGAGTTCTTGCTTTAAAGTAGATGGTCTACCTCTCTTCACCTTTGTCCTGATTTTCCATTCAGTTTAGGAAGCATGATACTAGCACAAGTGGACTTGCCCCTTTCCCCCTTTTTGTAATTTTCAGTCAGCAATATAGATATCCATTCTGCTTAAGATTTGCAGAGTAAGAGACAGAATGCATTATTTTATGTTAGGGTTGGGGGGTGTGGGGGATGGTCCAAAAGTTGTTTCCTAACAATCATTGTGCATTGTTTCAGGTCAGGGCCAAAACTGGAACCAAGGATTTAATAACTATTATGATCAAGGATATGGAAATTACAATAGTGCCTATGGTGGTGATCAAAACTATAGTGGCTATGGCGGCTATGATTATACTGGGTATAACTATGGGAACTATGGATATGGACAGGGATATGCAGACTACAGTGGTAAGAATATTTAACTTAATTTTATAACCAGTGGTATTAAAATTCAGTGTTAAGTTATTATCCCATTCTAAAATTGTGGGTTTCCCCTTTATTGAAATGTTTGGAGTTATGGTTTCAAGGCAATTGATAGTCATAGGGTGATTTTACTAACATAAAGTTCTGGTCATAAATGTTGAAGAGTATGTGATATATGACTAGTTTATAATGGCTGTTACAATCTTATTTCATACTTGCCATGTAGTTTTATACATTTAATCTTTAAGTATACTTATATAATGAAATCATTACGTAAAAACTATCCTGATACAATTTTTTGTCTTACAAAATAGGCCAACAGAGCACTTATGGCAAGGCATCTCGAGGGGGAGGCAATCACCAAAATAATTATCAGCCATACTAAAGGAGGACATTGGAGAAAACAGGTGTGTACAAGAGTATGAGACACCAGTGGAAATGTCTAATTTAATTTAAAGATCAATAGACAAAATAAAAACAAGTAAAACATTGTATAGCCTTTTTTTTTACTAAGTTGTTAAATTTTAATTGCTTTTTGAGCCTGTTTTGCCTAAAGTGTCTATAGATCTTTAACTCTAAAGTTTCACTTCACTTTCTTTAGTATTACAGAAAAACTTAAAAGTTTTTCTGTTTGCTTTGTGTACCAGGTGATCTAGAGGAATAATTAAACATTTTTAGAACTATTAACAGGTAAAGTACTGAAATGGGTACAAACTTAAGGAAAACACGAATGTTGTCTTCTAACTCTGACATTATACCTTGTTTGTACCCGCCAGCGGGAACTTCATTGCAGGCCGTGTGTCACCCTGACCACGTCTATCTCTGGGGGTCGCACGTTGCGGGCAGAGCGCAAGGCATACACCAGAAAACGCTGTCCTGTGGTATGGTCTCTTCCAACTTCATGTACCAGCGTAAAGATTAAAGTGGAAAACTTCAGACTTTGGCTTCTTTTTTAATCTTTTTGGAGATTAAGTGTCTAAACTTAACTTAAATGGTTTTTTACAGGAGTTAAAGTACATAAATGCCTTTTTACAGCTTACTCATTTTGGTCTTCTGTTTAGTGTTGTATTTCAATTGTGGAGCCTCATTTTAAGTGTTCATTCTTTAAGATTTAATGCTTGCTTTTTCTTTTTATAGCTAATAGTGAAATCTACAAACCAAAACAAGAACTTTAAAATCTGGGATATAAATTAAAGATCATATGCACACAACAATTTTTCTTGAAATACAATAATCTTATTTTAAAATTTGTCATTAAAGTCATTTTACTTGGTTTACTAGAGATACTTCTAGTAGACTAATCTAGCACAGTTCAACCTGTGGATATGGGAAAGTTCTATTCCCAGATTCTTTTCTAAATAGATTTAAATTTGGTGTCATTTGGGAAACCGGGTAAATTTACTAACTACCCAAACCACATTTGCCAATGAATATGCATGTGATCTTTAATTATTGAAGAAAAGAATAAAGTGAGGACTTAAAACAATTCATGAAAGTGGACCTTTGAAAGCTTGTCAGCGTTGCACAAATCTAATTGCTATTTTGTTTTTGTTTTTAGGAGGAGATTGCTAAAGTAACCCATCTGGCAGGACGCCATTGAAGATTGATTGATCTTCTCTTGCTCTAAGATGATTATTTTGTAAAAGACTTTCTAGTGTATAAGACACAACTGTGTCCAACTGTATATAGCCGCCAATTAGTTCTCTTTGTTTTTACTTTGCCTTTTGCTATGTGTTATGATTCAATGTGGATTTGTGTTTATACAAATTTTATTTGTATGATTTCATGTTAAACCTCAAATAAATGCTTCCTTATGTGATTGTTTTTCTGCGTCAGGTACTAAATAGCTCTGTAAAAAAGGGTGATTTTAAATAAGCAATAATTAAGGCACAGTTTATTTTGTAAGGAGTATTGGTCTGTAAGGAGAAACTGGCCCTTATGAACAGCCAGCTACAGTGTCACCCTGTTCCCATTTTTGTTAGCTGTATTCTATGCTCCCACTCTTCATTTCCCTGTTAACTGAGGCTTTCACCACATTTCAAAATGTTTCCTCTGTGTGTATCTGGAGACCTTTGTCATGGAAGTATCCATGTCATAGTCATAGTGTTGTGATTAGTGGAAGCTTTCTAGTAGACCATGAATCTTCCAATGATTATACTCTGAAGAAAAGTACCCCTTTAATGGCACAAAGCATGTTGGTTGCTCCTTTTATGAATGGGAAAGATTTTGCTTTGTTCCTGTCTCTGGAAAGCCATTTGTCGTGATTTGTTAAATATTTTAACTTAAGTGGTTCATTAGAAAGACCTTTGAGTAATCATAATACCATGACTTTAATTGTTCTTGATAAAAAGTCCAGATGTACCCAGGAATAAAGCACTGTTGAACTAGTGGGAGCTATAGTTTGAGGCTATCAAAAATAGTTACATTATCACAAAGATTTTGGCAGATAAGTTTGAGGTTATTAGAACTAGAGCAAAAGTTAAAGTATTTAAAGGTAGTGACTGAATTAGTTTTAGTTGGTATGTCACAGTAAGCAGCAAACAGCTGTTTTGGGGCATTCTTAGGAAGCTATATTGGGTGTTAACTGTTAATGTGTGAACTCTTAGTAAAAGCCATGTTAGTAGCTCATTTTTAATGCAATTAGTGCATGGGCCAAGTAGCTACGCATATCCATATTCAGACAGGAAGAAATAGTAGGGAAACTGCTTGAGTGTTATTTTAATGCAAATCTTAAGTGTGACTAAGTCATGTCATTAGAACAATCTTGGTGCATTATTAAAAAGCTTTAGCTCTAGATTTTGGGAGGATTTCCTGGGTAAATCCAAGCTTTGAATTTTATATTAAGTATAGTTATTGGACTTAAGGTTTTTTTAATTTTGTTTTTATGATTCCATGTTAGCCATTGGGGATTGGGATACGTTTGTATGTGGAATAGTTGACCTCACCTTAAAGTATAAACTTACATTGATGAACCTGCCGTTTTTTATTTGGTGCCTGCAACTTTGTTCGTATGATGTTTGTATTTGCTGGGCTATCAAGTTGCGGAACTCTTGGCCTTGTTTTGCTCCTGTTTTCCTATTTTGACCTTACACCTAGGCCAAGTACCAGTGTTGGCTATTGGAAGGAATTCTGTTTAAATTTACACTCTTAGGGAACAGAAGGGATATTTTCATTTTAAGTTGTGTTGTCAGTCAATAGGTGTGGTGTCTTTAGGGCAGTGAATCCTGTAAGTTCAAGTTTATGATTAGGTGACAAGTTGACATTGAGATTGTCCTTTCCCTGATCAAAAATGAATAAAGGTTTTTTAAACAAAATCCAAACTCCAATCAAGTCTTAATATATATGACTTAAGAAATACACTACATCTAGAAATGACTAAAATCTTTTACAAAGAATTGGAGGGGGAAGGAGTATTATGTCCTTGTGTTTTGCACTTGTCCAAGGTGCTTTGGACTCTGCTTAATTCTGATTTTAGGTTCTTTAAGTGCCAGCACATAAATATGCTAAGGTTAAGTGCTTCCAGACACGTCTGTTAGGATGAACAGTAAATAAAGTTAGTATTAAGGTTTCATACTGAAGTACTTAGAACTGAGCAAAGTGATTTGACAAGTTAATTGAAGGGGTTAATTCTGAAGTACCTATGATAAATAACTAGCTTGTATATCTTTTTGAAATATGCTTCCTGATTTTTAACCAAATTCTGTGTAGTGTTACTCATCCTAACAAATCTTAATAGCAATTTTGTTGATTAACATTACTGTTCCATAGTCTCCTAGCTATGTTTATAAAGTTAGGAATATTAAGAATTAAGATGTCTATTGGGATGCTAAACATGGGTAAGAAAAACCTGTTTCTTTTTCAGTCCTCACCTGAGGGTATTTTCCCCATTGATTTTTTTAGAGAGAGTGGAAGGAGGGGGGGTAGGAACAGAAACATCGATTATGAGAGGCAAGTTGATTGGTTGCCTCCCGCGTGTGATGGGTATTAAGCCTGCAAACAATACACTGAGCCCTTGACTAGAATCAAACCCAGGACCCTTCTGTCAGGGTGCCAACACACTATCCACTGAGCCAAAACTCCATTGATTTTTAGAGTGGGAGGGAGGGAGAGAGACATCTCAACCGGCTGCCTTCCTGCGTGTGCCCCAACCAGGGCTGGGATCAAACCTCCAACCCAGGTATGTGCCCCTGACCAGGAATCGAACTGACCCTTGGGTGTGTGGGCCAACATTCTAACTATGCAACACCAGCCAGGGTGGTAAGCAGAGCTTTATTTCATTCTCTTCATGTATCTTTTTCATAATAGTGATAGAGGAAACCCTTCACTAATCTTTATTAATTGTAATACAGGGACATCTGAAAAATTCATCACTACCAAGATTTGATAGGATGTTGACCACAAGATGCTAACTTTCACTAGTTGAAAAGGTAATTCCGAACACTGCAGGAATATAAATTTTTAGTTGTAGGAGATGAGTGTGTGTTCATATCATTTGAACTGACTCTAGCATTAAGCAAAATCAGGGGATGTTAAAGCACTAGAGGCCTGGTCCATGAAATTTGTGCATGGCTAGGATCCCTAGGCCTGGCCAGTGATCAGAGCCAATCTGGGGCAACTGGCAGGGTGATCAGGAGGCCCCTTCTGGCACCAGCTTTGGCCGGCCTGGGAGCAGCTCCTGCATTGAGTGCCCCTTGGTGATCTGTGTGTGTCATAGCGACTGGTGGTTCTACTGGTTGTTCCACTGTTCGGTCAGTTTGCACATTAGGCTTTTATTATAGAAGATTCCTCCTCAGATTTTCCAAGCTAATATAACTGCCATTTACTGTGGTCTCAACTTTTGAGCAAAAGCATGCAACTTTATCTTTAATATCATTCAAAAGTGTATTAGCCATAAAAATATGGGCTGTTCTTTTATGATTGATTGGGATTTTATATATTTTTGTCTTGAAATAGTTAAGTTGGATGTGGAATTTCAGCAAGTTTTGATTGAATAACAATAAAAATTCATATTTAACTTCTCAACCACTTTTTATAAATGAGGAAAGAATACAATGGTGTTCTGGGGATTACAGGATAAAGCTGAACATTCTGAAGACTTAATTTGTATTACTTTGAGTAGTTTAATCTCTGGTTTTACTCTATTAGCACTTATTTCAGAGGTATACTACTTGGGAAGGCCTATCATAATCTCAGGATGGTGGGACTGAGGTAGAGTTTGAAAATAGGTCCAAGACTTTTCATTACTACAGTAGTTACCTTATCTGCAGTTTTGCTTTCTATATTTTGTTACCATAGTGGACCACCATCCAAAAATATTAAATGGAAAATTCCAGAAAGAAACAATTACTAAGTTTTAAATTGTGCACCATTTTAAGTAGTATGATAAAATCTCGAGCTGTCCTGCTCTGTCCCACCTGGGATATGAATCATCCCATTGTCCAGGGTGTCCAGGCAGTATACACTTCCTGTCTATTTTATTTAATGGCTATCTCAGTTATTGGATCAACTGTCATGGTATTTCAGTGCTTGTGTTCAAATAACTTATTTTACTTAACGACCCCAAAGCTCAAGAGCTGTGATTCTGAGAATTCCTTTAAGTGAAAAGGTGAAAGTTCTACTTAATAAGGAAAGAAAAAAGTTGTATGCAGAGCTTGTGTGAAACTGAAGGGGAAAAAAATTCCAGCCCTAGCTGGTTTGGCTCAATTGATAGAGCATTGGCCTATGGACTAGAGGGTCCTGGGTTTAATTCTAGTCAAGGGCAGCCTGGGTTCAATTCTAGTTGTGGGCTCGATCCCCAGTAGGGGGCGTACAGGAAACAGCCAATCAATGATTCTCATCGTTGATGTTTCTCTCCCTCTCCCTCTCTGAAGTCAATAAAAATATATTTTAAAAAATTTTCAGTTTGCTGAGACATTCACATAACTTTTGTTACAGTAGACAGTTATAATTCTGCTATTGTATCATTAGTTATTGTTAATCTCTTACCAGGCCTAATTTATACATTAAACTTCATCATAAATACATATGTGTAGAAAAACATACTTAAATTATGTTAGGTACTATCTACAGTTTCAGACTCAACTGGGGGGGGAGGGTCTTGAAATGTACAACCCTCAGAGACAGGGGAACTTCTAGAACTTAGAACTATACTTACCACATTGTTGGAGATAAAAAAAAAAAAGCTTTTTTGAGTATGCATTGTTTTCATAATCTGGAAAAAGTGATATTTTTAAATACTTATGGTATGGATATAATTTTTAAAATTTTGCATTTGGAATAAAACAAATTATACCTTTCGTCTCATTTAAAACTTTTTTTCATATATTTTTTAGTTATAATCCATGTAAACAGGTCTTAGAGCCTATCAAAACTAATTTTACTCTGGCCTATGTCTTCTCTTTATTTAGTCATTTTAGTTGCATGATGTTTTAGACACCAATATATAGACCAGCCGTGGGCAAACTACGGCCCGTTTGAAATGAATAAAACTAAAAAAAAAAAAGACCGTACCCTTTTATGTAATGATGTTTACTTTGAATTTATATTAGTTCACACAAACACTCCATCCATGCTTTTGTTCCAGCCCTCTGGTCCAGTTTAAAAACCCATTGTGGCCCTCGAGTCAAAAAGTTTGCCCACCCCTGATATAGACACTAGCAAAAGGGTTATTATTTCCCATCCAAAACAATGAAAAATTCAAAGTACCATTCCATTTCTGGTTTTCTGCTGACTGGGATTTTTTTTTTTTTTTTAATCCCAAGAAAGGGTCTTGGTGTTGGTGGCAGATGCAGAGTTGCAATGATTCACACTTAACCACAGTATTGCCCTGGCTGGTCAGTGGATAGAGCATCGGCCTGCAGACTGAAGGGTCAAGGGCATGTGCCTGGGTTGCAGGGTCAGTCCTCAGTGAGGGGCGTGCAGGAGGCAGCCAATAAATGATTCTAATCATTGATGTTTATCTCTCCCTCTCAAATCAATAAATATATTATTTAAAAAAAAAGAACCACAGTATTACCAGACTTGTTTTCTTTTTTATCTGAATTGTCCTTTTTAAATTCTGGGTGTAAAATTTGCTCCTTGTTGAAGTGAAATTCTTTTCTTCATTAAGGATACCAAGGAGGCCCTGGCTAGGTGGCTCAGTTGGTTGGAGTGTTGTCCCATATATCAAAAGGTCCCAGGTTTAATTCCCAGTCAGGTCACATAACTAGATTCTAGGTTCGATCTCATGTAAGAGCGGCAACTGATGCTCCATGCTCTCTCTCTCTTCTCTCTCTAAAATCAATATAAATGCATCCTTGGGTGAGGTTAAAATAAAAAGGTACCAAGTGGCAAATTTCTTTCTGCCTATCATAGAAACAATCAAGCACTCTTAACCAGAAAATATACAGGCATTAATTACTTTTCTCTTGACAGTTCTAGAAAAGGTATACAAACTCAGTATAACTTAAGAACAATAGTCAGTTTATTGAACTCCATTTGTTGCCACAAGAAGGGAAAAAGCATTACATGAAAATGTCAAAGGTTCTCAAATTCATTATTCCATAAATCACTCCTAAGATCATATTCTGTTCTTTTTTATTTCATGTTACGTATTCACTTCCGTGCATTAGCAAAGTCCTACATATAGTGTAAAGAGTACATACTCGGTGTACACATACATCTACATAAGATAAAAGGTACACAATTTTTCAAAAGTTATTTTTATTTCTACTTTCAGCAAAAATGGATGACCTGAGTAATCAAACTAATCCTTCTAAAGACAAGCAGGATGAAAAAAATTTTTAAATCTTCTCTAGAAAAACTAAAAAACCCTGAAACAAATACAGAATAATATTGCAAGTAAACTGTTAATTGAAAAATTAAATTTTCCTTAAGTTCTCTTAAAAAAAAAAAAAAACACTCGAAAGGAGAGAAGGAAAAAAAGAGAAGGGAGGGGAGGGGAGGGAAGGGAAGGAGGAAGGAAGGAAAGAAG